ACACATATGTGCTGAGCAACATCGCAGTTGAGGCCAGCAGCAAGACATACATGCAGTGCACTGGAGCATCACCTCACATAGTGTACAGTCTTTGCCCACCAGTAAAATCAATATTTTTCAAGCAGACTAATAGACAGCTGTGTGAGAACTGTGTTGATGCCCAAACTTTGAAGTCTTCTTGAGGAGCGTTTTTCATCATTTTTGTCCAAGTGAAGTAGCTACCCGAGGCCACAACTGGTGGGAATGTGGTGGTTTCCTCTCTCCAAAAGCACTCCTACCAGCTGCCTCAATGTTATTATGGGGTGAATTCACGAACTGGAAAAATAATTGGTCTTTGTTTTCTTGGCCGAAAGAGTCACTTCCACCGTTGAGCCACTACGACGCGCCAGAGTAGAAACTTTTAGCTAAATCAAGTTGATTCTACGTTTGAGAAGTGTTTTGGGGTAACGAAATGGCACTTATAGCTGTCAATATAAACACTGTTTGCACCTAGGAGCTTAGTAGCTTATAATTGTATTATTCACATATTGTCTAGAATTTACTCGCGCTGTGCCAACTTTCAGCCCAAGTGTCATAACATGCTTTGTTAGTGGGTTGTGAATGAACCAAGCTTAGTAAATAAACAGAGTGATATTGCAGACATGTACAAAATATTGATGCACAGCCCTTTTCTTTAGCAAGATATTGTCAAGGGCTTTATTCTTGTGTTTTTTAAAAAAAACTGCTTGTCACTGGGCAGCAATGGAAAACTATGCATCAAGCTTTTGCGAGATGGTTCGAGAAACACCGTGCTCAAACATAACAGTGCCGGTGGATTTCTCTCGTAAGTTACTTTCTGTAGTATATTCAAACTGAGTGTATTATAATTGTTGTTTTATAGCCATTCATTTTAATATTTACACCTGAGTGTGTGTATGTATGTATGTATGGGTGTACATGTGTATATGTGTGTGTGCGTGTATGTATGTATGTATGTATGTATGTATGTATGTATGTATGTATGTATGTATATATGTATGTATGTATGTATGTATGTATGTATGTATGTATCTTTTAAATGAGAATCCGTTTATCTTTGGTGAGTAAGTTCGGTAATGATTTGGCTGAATTTGTTTCTAGTTATTTCTCTTTTGAGTCATTATACATTTCAATTTGTTTTGTACTGCTTAAAAATAAATGTAACCTTACACAGAATATGTGTGTTCGAAGAAGTTTCATTTACCAACCTACAGTCATGGGCAAGAAATTGGGTAAAATGGAACGAACCTGCGAAGATTAGTTTCGAGCATAGCTACTCTACATGGCATATCTCGTACACATTGCGTACGAGATATGCCATAAAATAGTAAGACTGCTGCAGTACTTAAAAAAATGCGCGAAAATTTGTCAAAGAACAACATCATTCGAACAGCACTGGTGAAGTTCAGGAGAAGTTAGCGTGGGTGGTATACTCGTAAGTACATATTTCGTTGATCTAACCGTTTCGCTTTGCTGGTCGAGTTCGAGCGTGTGAGCGGCATGCGGCGCTTTTAATATCCACTGTAATTAGATATTCAATACACAGTATGCTTTTATTTAGAGCTTGCTGAAGGGTATTACAGAATAAATACAATCAAAGTGACTTACGATTGGGAAAAAAACGTTAACAAACGACGCTACATGAAGTGCGGCTCTCTGCTTCTGAGTTAGCAGCTGATCCGTTCATCGTGACTTTCACTCTCAGTGCGTTGACCACCACCTACGTTCAGTAAAAACTCCTCGACGTCAAGACGGTTTCTTTGAAAATCACTGCTGAAAGTGATCTGTAGAATTCTCTCCGCCAAACGACTTTAATAGCCTTAACAACGCGCGTTTCACCACGCACAACATCCACACGGCATCACTCCCCACGTTTATTTGAGGGTGCAGACAACATTTCGCTCAGATACTCGGCAAGAAAGGAACCGCTTGCTGTGTTCTGCCATCTATCAACGAATGTAAAAACAGGCGGCGCAGCACAGGTCAAGGTTTCGAAGCGCAAATCGCGAGCCTGCCCTACTTTCCGTGTACAATGAACGTTATACGATTCATGCACTACAAAAGCACTAACGAATGCTATACGCACGTAAAACAAGGCGAACTTTAACTTGAATGGTCAGACGAGAACATTCAGCTATCCAAAGTGGCTGCAGAAAATATTTCGAAGCTGATGTGTACGCTGCGGGCTATATTCGAAAGCGCTCGTTGCCACATATTTTTCAAAAACTTCACTTCTCGCAAGAACGAACCATATTTATCGTGTCACGGACGTTTCAATATATTCACTGATGCACAAAACATACAAAGTGATTTGTATTCATTTCTTGCTAAGCGTTAACACCACGGCTAGCACCGCCGAACAAGAGAGCATTGGAGCGTCTGCCTACAGATCATCCTTGAGAGGACGCTCCTGAATTCCGCTAGGTGGCTTGGAAGTCCATGAACACTGCGAATAACATGGAGATGAATGTGGTGTCTTCTGATTCAATAGTGTTCATTGAAGTGACACGATGTCAACCAGAATTCTGTATCATTTCTATAAATTGTTTACGATCAAGCTTTCAGGTGACAAAGCCTACGTTATTAATACGAGTACTAGTGTAAATGAAAAGAGCGACTGGGAAGTAATCCATATTTTGTTTCAAACAATAAATTTGGAGAGGGGGGGTGAAGAAAGTTAAATAGAGCATGATCAATAAGAGTTCCGAATCTATTATTACTGCAACGTGCCGGAAGGAAAAGTAAAAATTAGAGACCATAGCCCTGGATGCAACTTGCAAGCTGGGCTGCAAAGGAAGAAGTATCAAGTAAATTTATGTTACTATCACCCATGATGACGACGAATTTTTTCCTTTAAAAGAGTGTCAAAAATGAGATCAAGTGCTTCACAAAATGCACAATTTGACGTATGTGGTGATCGATAATTGGTACCAAAGACACCATTATTATTATCAGCATATATTACAGAGTGAGCTACTTCTATCCACACTGAATCACAATCACGGATATTTGAGAGCAGATCAAGCCTACGCTTGTATAGAATGCCAGAACGAATTAACATGGCTGAGCAACCATGTTAGTATGACGTGCGATTACAGTATTCTGAACTGTAAAACAGAAAACCATAGAGAGTTTTGCTCAATTGGCTCAGCCATGTTTCAGAAACACATATGATTGAAAATAAATGAAGACAAGATAGTAACATTTCTGAATTCTTAGAGTGCGAAAACAACGCGAGTGTAAGTGAATCACTGGATGACGATTGTTCGAAGAGCAGGACCTGGTTTCACTAGTGCAAGTGTATGACGTAAGATTAGAGGAACAACAAAGTATAGGTAAAAACGTATAATTACTTTAAGCGCAAATCGCAGGGTTGAAATCCCACCCGTTTCGAAAAACTCTCCTGTCTTTTCTCTTCTCCTTTAATCCTCTCACCACTCCCCCCAGTGCAGGGTAGCAAATCGGACGTGCGTCTGGTTGACCTCCTTGCCTTTTATTTCTTCCCTTCCTCCTCCTCCTGTATTTTGACTGTCTCACCTTGATGACGCAGTCAACAGTCCACGAAAAATGCCACTTTTTTCTTTGTTTGGTGTCAGAAGTTTGCTGAATAATTGCTTCTTTTGAGGAGTGAGGTGATCATTGACGAAAACAGGTCTGACTCTTTCTTTGTGGAAACCGATGTCACTAGTGCTCAGGCATGCCTTGCGGGCATTGCCTATAATATCAGTTTTCAAGGCTCGAGAGTGAAATCGAGCTGGCAAGTCCTTTGTTTTGGACGCCGACAGAACACGATGTACAATTTCTATATCACTAGCAGGAAGCTAGCAGTTTATTTTAGGCGTGAGGGATTTGTTCAGGGACTCAACAGTTTTGTTCAGAAAATCAAGGTTGCTCATACGACCCTCAATCTCGTCCTTTAACCCTGTAATTATCAGGAAACGCTGGCAATTTAGCTTGGGCCCAACAATTGTCGTTACCTTCTCAAGAAGGTTATCAAGCTTATCGCTGAAAGTATTTTCGAGTTGTTCCATGCATTTAGACAGTACGGCAACAGTTGGCATGATTATTAGATAACACCGAAAGTAGCAGCAGCGGCAGTGTAAATAGTTTTGCCATAAATGACTGAAAATGGGCATAACCATTGATTTTGCTGGGATTACCCTACATTTCTCTACTATTGAAGAGTTTGCTTTTGATGAGTTCACATTGTATGGAGTATCCGTGTCTTTTTTTTCTCTGTGTACATGATCACGACAACAACTGTCTTCGGATGAAAGTAGAACCATAATAACAAAATTGCATCTTTGCATGAACACTTGCTGCATTTAGGATCCTGTGGTTTAGATGAAACTCAGTATTTACTGTTGCCTACTAATTTTGAAAGACTGTTTACCTTTACTTTTGAAGGACATTGAACCTTGTGTAAAGTTCAAGGTGAACGTTTTTTTTTCTAATAGAAAGCTCGTTTTTGCTAACGCTTATCTTCCAACTTCCCCGACAACTGTCTGCTTGAAGGGATTCTTGAGGTCCTGTTTTCGACGAGCCCTGACTGGTTTTTATCAGCTCCTTGTTTGAGCGAACGCAGGAAACTAAAAGATAAACTTTCGGTAACAAGCGTACCTAAAAATAGAAAGACATGAACTCCCAAACCTGCTCTTGATCACCGTGTGGTTTTGCAGAAACTATCGTGGCGGTTTCTTACGGAAGGAAGAAGTGAGTGCCGCTTGTCAGGCCCTAGCCGATGCTTAACACTGATAAGCCTGTTTTGAGTATAAAGGTGGGGGACAGTATAAACGATGGTGGGCATAAAACAGCCTGCAAGAAAAAGCAATGATTATCGCCGCCGGTTCTTTTTACTTGTGAGAATTTATTTCTACGGTTTACTTTTCGCTGTATATATTTTCTCTGGGTGTTCTCACAGTGATCTTGAGCTGTCGTATAAAATAGAGGTTGCTGGTACGCAACCGCCACTCGCTCGGTATTGCGTCCTTCCTGACAGAGCGAGGACCCCGAGAAGACCTTCATCGAACAAGATGGGCTTGTGGCACGTGTGCACATGCGTGGTGCTGGCCGTGCTGGTTGGTGTCGTTATTGCTGCCAATCGGGGAGAACGAACGGACGCGTTTCGGGTAAGTTAAACTGATTTCTGCTCCGGTAACTATTTCGCAGCGAGCATACTTATTTCGCTTACCTGTGTGAGTCGTACTTGTAAATGTCAGAATTTATATTCGCACATTGCATTTTTGTGCATATGTGGCACCAGAAATTTTACCACCGGAAGTTAACAAATGATCTTCTAAGATGAAAACTGTGAATTAATCTTGGATTCACCTAAACAAGCAAAATATTAGAAGATAATATATTTCGGGCTGGCGTGAAAAAAAAAAACGGCAGCGGTACATTTAATAGAATTCACCTTTATAAAACCTAACATGCCCATAAGCGGTGTACGGAACTGAGCCAGTTGGTCGAACTTCATTATGAAACTCCATGCAAAAAGACGACACATAAGATGAAGTTTTGTGAGCTCTTAGGTCCTATGTATAGATTTTTTGTGCGCTGCTTTTTAACGATGGTGCTTACAATGCGTGTCTCTGCGAGCACCTACTGTAACTTAGAACAAGAGGCAAAATGACATTTTCTTATGCATTTCTGTATACAATACGTAGCATATTAGGTGAGTGATAGCCCATAAAAGCAGTTGAAAGCAGTGAATGATACCGAAAAAGTCCTTACTTTTTTGGAGTGCTTCGTCCTTAGGCTTCGATATCACAGATTGTTCATCACCAAAGCATGCGCTCTGATACATCTTCAGGACCATATAAAAGGTTGGACGACTGAAGCGATTCTCAGCCGCATTACGCAGACGGCGCCACGAAAATGAACAATATATTTTAGTGCATGATTATTTCAGTGTACGTGCTCAATTTACTTAAAAAGTAAAGGTATATACGAAGCGTTTCACATCAACAAAACGTGTGGGAAAAGAAACAGATAGCTGTGCGGACATATCGAACGTAAACGGTGTCTTTCTTTTGCTTTTTAAAATGTACTCGCATGGACATGTGTATAACAAGTAGTTTTTGAATGTAACGCGTTGGGTTTAAAAGAAAGTAGCGCTTTTAGTTGTTTGTCTAGTAGAAGAACGGCTATTTGGACTGAAACGCAAAGTACACTTTGAAAAGGTTTCCAGATTAAGTTAGTCCTCTAGTTAGTAACCGAGATTTATTCTATCATTTTTTTGTTCGATCACAGTGAGTCATTTTGAAACGTTAGGAAAACTCCTGGATACGCATTCCTCGTACGTTTCAAGTTAAATCGGGTACATTGAAAGGCATTATTTTGTGGTATGAAACCTCGCTTAAGCAGTGAGTGGCAGGTAAAACGAAGACCCGCACGAGGATATTCATAGGAAATCCGGTAGTGTGGTCAAGCTAGATGTTTGAGGCGGAACCATACAATTCTACATTCCAGGAAACCTGTCAGGTGCAAGGTTTCGCCCAGCTGAAGACACTTGGTCAGCTTGATTATTTTGATAGAGATTAAGCTTATACAAATGGTAAGCCTTGCTGCTCTAGAAAATTCAAAACGTCGTATTTCTACATACAGAAGATGATATGCGTCTCGCAACAAGCACAAAAAGAAAAGTTCTTTTACTTTTTTCATAGAATGCCCCAAAAAGTGGTATATATAAACAATATATATATATATATATATATATATATATATATATATATATATATATATATATATATATTATTTATTTATTTATATATAGGTATAGGATATGGCACAACGGGAGCGTTGTCAACAAGGATAAATATATTTATTTCCCAACAGTTCCGGGAGGGATCCTCCCTTCATCCCCAGATGAAGGGAGGACCCCTCCCGAAACTGTTGGGAAATAAATATATTTATACTTGTTGACAACGCTCCCGTTGTGCCATATCCCATACCTTCATAAAGACTAACTGGCCCATTGAACTATTACTCCACTATATATATATATATATATATATATATATATATAGAGAGAGAGAGAGAGAGAGAGAGAGAAACATGAACGCAAAAGAAAAAAAAAAGAGCGAAAGTAAAAAGGATGAAAACGAAGGAAGCATACCAAAAAAATTGGAAGTACAAGAAGAAAAAAGAAAACCACAAATTGATTAGGAAGGGTGGCATCTGAAGATTGTAAGACGAACGTGAAAATTGCAAACAAGCCATGCCATCATTGACCACAAAATGCACCCCACGCACCCCCCCTTTCTCCAAGTGCAAATTGTGACGACCCACGTTTAGTATTTCGCCTTCTGGTGCAATCCGCTGGCGGCTTATCGACCTTTGAAGTTTACGGCGAATCGGTGGGGGGAATATAAAGTGCTTCGAGTGCATGTCAGTGGTGCCGGAAGGTATAAAAAAGCCGGCAATGTGACACCGCCATCGATAATATTTGTCTGCATTGGCTGCTGTCAGTGAAAGGAAAGGAAAGATGCATAAAAACAGAAAAAGAAAGTAAAAACAAAATAAAGGACTGTCCGACATTCGGGACCACATATCTGTGTGTTCTGGCTGTGCTCGAGGCAGCAAAACAATTTTATACTGTTAGATCCACGCGCTTACAGCTCTGCCAGGTGATAATATTACTGTCGCAACGGGATGCTATAGGCAGAGGACTGATTAGAAAGCGGCGTTTGCATTGTTTAATTATCGTAACGCTGACAGGGTGCCTGAGTGTCCATTTATTCAGTTTTTCATCGTGTTTAAATTGTAGGTAAATTAAGATTCCCGTTTTCCCATTCTGTGATCGTTCAAAAATTGTTTTCAAATAGAGTAACCCTCACGTCATCAAAGGTGTGATTTTTCAATTTACTGTGGGTTGAAAGTAAAAGGCTTGGCAGGGAACGTATATGCGTTCGATAATTGTTGAATCTAATTCTAAATGAAGTGTGTGTTTGGCCTTCGTATTGCCTGTTACATACTCCACATTGCAGAAGGTATATGAAGTTGTCTGAGTCCCAGTCTAGTGCACCACTTATCCTGTGCCTACAATCCAAGTGGGTGCTTTCCGCCCCTGCCGTTGTTCGCATGTGTTTGCGTACTTTACATCTGCTTTTTCCGCAAGGGCGACTCACGGTTTGAGGTTTTATGCCTATTTGAAATGCGGAGCATTTCTCGGCAAACTTCGGCAACTTTGAGCGTATCTATCTATCTATCTATCTATCTATCTATCTATCTATCTATCTATCTATCTATCTATCTATCTATCTATCTATCTATCTATCTATCTATCTATCTATCTATCTATCTATCTATCTAGCCGCCTACTACATTTAGCTCTCCTGGCCGCTTCGATGGTTGTATCTATACCAAACTTGGCATGGCATAACATGAGTGTATGAAGAGCATATTTGACTAGTAATGACATGAAAATCTTGATATGTATATCAAGAATGTCATGATTTGCATTTCGCCCCGCCGTGGTGGTTTAGTGGCTAAGGTACTCGGCTGCTGACCCGCAGATCACGGGATCGAATCCCGGCTGCGGCAGCTGCATTTCCGATGGAGGCGGAAATATTGTAGGCCCGTGTGCTTAGATTTGGGTGCACGTTAAAGAACCCCAGGTGGTCGTAATTTACGGAGCCCTCCACTACGGCGTCTCTCATAATCATATGGTGGATTTCGGACGTTTAACCCGACAAATCAATCAATCAATTCATTGATTTACAATTCATGGTCCTGCAGCTCTCGCGATAGCTCCGCTCACATGGCATGTTGCCAAACTGGTATGATATGACATGATTGCATGGCTAACACAAGTTACAGGCTCTAACATGAAAATCACGACATGCGTGTCATGTAACATGGCTACATGCCATGCTCATGATGCGCTCGCGGGCGGTTTTGCTAGCGTCCTTTATACCAAGTTTGATATTACACGTACCTGAATGGGTGACGAAGGTATGTGACTGGTGCAAACATGATAATTATTAGATGCATGTCATGTAACAACATGACTACCAGACAGGCTCATGATGCCCTGGCAGCCATTTCACTACATTCATTTATACCAAATTTGGTATTAAGGGACGTGAATGGGTGACGAATGTATGATACCGGTACAAACCTGATAAACATGAGATGCGTGTCATGTAACAACAATACGACATGCTACGCTCATGATGCGCTCGCGGCTGTTTCGCTAGCTTCACATATGCCAAATGTGGTATTACGGGACGCCAATGGATGACCAAGGTATGTGACTGGTGCATGCATGATAAACATGAATGCGTGTCATGTAACAACAAGACGACATGCTACGATCATGATGCGCTCTCGGCCGTTTCGCTAGCTTCACATGTACAAACTTGTTATTACGCGACGCGAATGGACGACATAGGTAAATGACACATCCAAACATAATAACCACATGCGTGCCATATAACATGCCACACTCAAGATGCGCTCGCGGCCATCTCAGAAGCTTCGCATATGCCGAATTCGGTATTACGTGATGTCAATGAATGACGAAATATATGACTGATGCAAACATGATAATCCTGAAACACGTGTTATAAAAGAACATGACAACCTACCACACTATTAGCGTGCTTGAGGTCGTTTCGCTAGCTCCACATATACTAAATTTGGTATCACGTGACGTGAATAGATGACTAAGGCTGGCGACACGTCTAAATATGATACTCTTGAGAAGGAAGTCATGTACGGTATCATTTACTTCCACCTCATAACGTTGCACTGATTCGAAAGGGACATATAAACCTTTCTTATTCATGCTTTGCATATCATCGATTCCCACTGTGCGTGGGATCTGTCTTTTCTTTTACATTATTAAATGATCTTTTATACTGTCCGGCCGCCTGCATACCACACAAGGAGGAGAAGCGAAAATTTTGGTTATCGCACGTTCTGTTCTATCATGTTAGTGTTTTCTTATGACCATTTTAATGTTCAGTGGGTTGGTCGTGAAAGTTAATAGCAAAGTTTGATTGTGACGCTGGTCTGCATTTTTCTTGTGGTTTAGAAAAGTCTGGGGTTCAAATTTTCTGCTTTTTAAGGGTCTCATTGATGACAGTTGGGGGGTATTCTTGATGAAAGAGTGCCTCGCGCA